TTGTTTGGGTCAGTTGAAAATTGCTTTAGGGGAAATCTAGTCCTGGAAGAAGAAGAGTTGGATCTATCCCTCAAAATGCCACATTCCCCCTTGGGCTTTATATCAAATACACAATATAACAAATGTAACAAAAACTTTAAAAGTTCTTTACTTTCTTTGACATAGATAAACTAAATAGAAAGGAAAAGAATACTAGATCTCACGTAGGGGGTAAAAAAACACCACCACCAAACATTTTTGCCAGTGAAGTTCTTTACTTTCTTTAACATAGATAAACTAAATAGAAAGGAAAAGAATACTAGATCTCACGTAGGGGGTAAAAAAACAACACCACCAAACATTTTTGCCAGCTGCCCCCAGTTTAATGCTCTCTAAATGAATAAATTTCCATAAATATTATTTCAGAAATGTTATAGGTTCCAGAATATTCCAGAAATATTATATTTTGAATCCTTCATTATATTTTAAAAATCCCATATTGTATTTTAACTGGATAGAAAAAAAATTAACAGATGTTACAAAGTACAAAGACAAGTCTACTTAACTCTGACAAGACTATGACTTGCCAGGTTTATGACTCCTTAGTTTGAATGAGGATTGTAACTCAGGTCTTCTAAGGCTCAAGTCCTTGGGTTTCCCACACTTTCACTCACAAACTCCCAGTAATTTCATTGTCACTTGTCAAAATGAGGTATGATTACAAAAACAAGTTCCTGCGCATATGCATAGGAGACACATATGGATGTTCAATACAGCATTATTTATCATAATTGAAAACTAGAAACAACTTAAATGTCCTTTTGAAGGAGAAACGATCAAATGGGGCTTATTCATCTCATCTGATACCATATAACAGTTAAGGTAAATAAATTCATGTTCTATACATCAATATGCATTGATTTTGTTGTGGGGACAAAAGTTATACAATAGAATAGTATGATACTATGAGAAGAAAATTAAAAGACATTCACATAAAACATTCTTATGTGCAAATATATATTTTGTCATCCTCAGCATGTCTTCAAGGTTCAAAAAAGCTACAAATAGAAGTTATATTTATTACAAGTGAAAAGTTTGAGGCTTTTCAAAACTACTTGCACTTATATGTAATTTCTTCCAAATCTTGAGCCGTTGGTGTCAATTTCCTCATGCAGGGCCTATTAATAAAACATTTATTTCCTTTCTGTGATCATTAATTACTTTCATTTGGTAGAGAGAGCTTTCACGACATCTTGAAGAATATTTTCTTTTCTCCTGAATTAGAGGATCCTTTATTAATAAGTTACATAAAAAGGAAATCTGCTTTAGTATATTAACTAAATTCAATTAGATAATTATAATACAATTTGCTTCTTTGTGTTGTGGATGTACTACTCAGAATTATTAAATGTTAGAGGAGGTTTTGGTGGCTGCTATAATAGACTCTTGTATTACAGATGGCCTAAAAAAGAAATATTACTTCCCTAAAGAGACGTAGCTAGTAATAGGCAGGTCGGGATTAAGTCCCATGCTGCTGAGTAGAGCTCTTTGCAGTGCATACCACTCTGCTTCTCATGCATCACAAACTGTGTTCATACACTGCCCAATCCAGAAGACAAATTAATCAGCTCAATGATAAAAACAAAACAATCACCAAAACTCCCAAATACTAGTCCATTGCTATTATAATTTTAAATCAATTTGCCAAATACGCTTTTATTTGTGACTGGTTGCATGGAGATCAATCTATCTATGTATTATCTATAACATAACTCTAGGACTCTGTCATATGTACATGAATTTTATATATTTCAGTTGTTTATATATTTTAGGTGTATATCTGAAGTCTGAATATTGTAATGACACCTTGGGAAAGCTTCTTGCTGCCTTTATGTTTCTGAATCGCCATCTGAAAAATAATTAATATCCACTATATTATGTATATGGGAACATTCACACTCTTGACCCGTGGGCTATTTAAACATGAGTTCTACATGTTCTACAACAGATTTCCAAGACATGATTTTAGAGCTGTTGATGCCCAAAGGAAAAAAAAAATCTTGCACAAAGCTTGGAATAAGTCTCCTTATGGAACTTAACTGAAAGGTGTAGCACTTTGTAAATATTTTCACCTGTGAAATCCTTCACTGCTGAGGAATAAATATAGACAAAATTTTATGGTCAAATTATTGTTATTTATTGCTGCAGGCATTGTAACAGTTTAAGAGTATAATTTTTAGCCTTTTCCTCCTATAAAACACATTATTTTCCCAAGGTCTTGATTTTGGAATTGTACCAAACATTTCCAGATATATTGTTAGTCACAGGATAATTGAGAGAGAGAGAGAGAGAGAGAGAGAGAGAAACTCTCTTCAATTTTGGTATGTTGTCCTTACACACGCAATCCTTCTTTCCTTTTTATATTATTGTAGATGTATATGTTAGAATCAGGAAAAAGCATCTTTAAAACTGTAAGATAAAAAACATTTTGGTAAAACCACTTTGATCCCAGATCTTATGTAATTATCATTATTTTTCACTGTGAGACCACCATATATTTGACTCAACTGTCATGTTTCATTCTCTTAATATAATCAAAAAAACAATAGGAAATATAGGAAATAATTTTCTTTTTGGAATGCAATTCTAGATTCTATTTAGCTCACTTGGATTGTTTATTTGCTTTCCCCAAGGGAAAAAATGTGTTATTTTCTTATTCTGCCTTAAAAACATTAAGTCATAACTTTTGATCTCACCAGTTAGTAAACAATCTTGGCTCTAGCCAGGTTTGGGGGAAACCCAAAAGAAACCGAGGAGCTACAGGAAGAGAGGTTAGTAATTCCAGTTGTTCAGCTCTTGTCTTTAGAGTATTCTCTGAATTGTGTTGGAGTGTGTTATTTCGTTGCTGTGAACTACTGCTGCCAACTTCCACCCTAGAGATGGCTATATTTCAGAGATGAGTGAAATGATACTTGTAAACAAGTTTATAATCATTAATAAAGCTTACCAAACAATTTAAGCTCTTTAGAAACACACATCCACTATTATAATTAATTGCCTATTGTTTATTTAATTACAACCTTTAATAGAGACACGAAGTCTTCTAAAAATGCAACTTACAAAAATTCTTAATTAAAATTGATTTCATGATGCTTATTTTGTTTTTGTAAGTTTCAGGTGTCAAATTATTTCTCCCTAGAGATCCTGGCGAAATCGCACCATTGACTGTTCCAATGTACTCTGTAAAAATCCCTAAGAATATTTTTCTTTAAAGTTGACAACTATGCACTCTGGGATCCAGATGCTATATTCGTAGTATGATGATTATGCTCTGCTTTCCACACATGGCCTTTTCATACACTGTCTCTCAGGGATGGAAAACTCTGCCTTGAATAGAGAAGTATTAAACTTTGCTTGAAAATAATAAACACGATACTTTACACTTTTATGGCCATTTTAGGTTGCAAAATGCATTTACATCTATCATATTGCTTTACTCTCAAAATAAGTCTTATAAAAGGAGAAAAGGCATTAAGTCATGCAATAGAGTGTCTACCGCATGCTAGACACTATGAAGGGACTGCATAATACACAAGCCAGTCCAAAGACGGAGAATTTCCTTGGGAAAGTAAGACATGCGCAGAATAAACACAATAGAGGTAGTCTCTAAGTGTCTCTTGTAATTGAGAAATAGAGGGGAATAGGGAGACTTAGAATTACGTGCCACATTGTGCTACAAAAAGTACATGTATTGTCTTATAATACTTCCAACCCATGCTTGAGGCATGGGCTCCATATGATCTGGACAGTTTGCCAGGCTGTGAGTGTCCAGGAGAGTGCTCTTGACATGGAACCCATAGAGTCACGATGGAGTCTCAGGCATAATGATGACCTCAGTTTTATTGGGGGGAAAAGGTGAGACTCAGGGAGGTGAAATGACGTGAGCAAGGTCACAAAGACTGACAGTGGCAGCGGTGGGGCTGAAACTAGGTCTGAGGCCAGCCCAGTGCCTCCCAAGAATTTTACTAATCCCTGTGTGAGTTTTGAAATCCTTTATCTGCTTCCCTCTTTCCCTTTGTCTGGGTGAGGGATTTCATTTTCAGTCAACTGAAGGACTTCTTTCAAAAAGAAAAGAGTGGACAAGGCACTGGAGGAAAGTCTGCTTTCGATCAGTGAAGAGTGATTCACTCTGCCACCGTTTACCGAACCCCAGCTCCATGCCAGGCACTGGGCATCCAGGGCACTGCTAAGACAGATTCCTCTCCTTCAGAGATGGAAACCGGTCTCTCCGTCATTAGGACAGGGTCCGGGGCCTTGATGGCTCCCTCTCGAGAGCAGTTCCCAGCTCTCCCCAAGGCTCCCTGCCGGCTTTCGCAAGCCCGCAAACTCCCCGGGACCCAGCACCCGGCGGGACACCGCAGCAGCAAGCAACGACCTGCAGGGAAGCCCGAGACGCAGCGTCGGCGCTACGCGCCCCAGTCGCCACGGCAACCAGGGAGGCGCTGACCCCTGACCCCGAGGCCCCGCCCCTTTGCGTTCCTGAGCTCAACCTGGAGAAGGCCAACCCGGAAGTGCCGCCGCTGCCACCCGCCGGGCGCTAGGAGCTGCCGGCCCGGCCAGGCCGAGCCCCGCGCCTGCCGCCTG